CGACCGCCCGGTGTCTATCAAGGTGCACGAGCACTGAGTCCTGCACCTGTTCTCCACTGCGGCTTCGTCTAAACCCTTCTGGGCTTTCTCGAAGGCCACCGGCCTGGCCCAGCCTGGCTGCAGGAGCTTCCCAAGCTGCCCCGGCCCTGCACAGCAGCACAACTGCTCCTGCCCCCAGCCCTTCCCCGCTCTGAGGACGGGCTCCCTTCTCTCCTGGTGCAAAACTTTTGCGCCTAATTTCACACTGGCAAAGAGCCACCTTCTACCAGCACCCTTCCAAAACCAAATTAGCACGCTGCTGCAGCAGCAGAAATTGGAGACGAAAGGCTGCAGTTTTATTTTACAATTCAATTAGCAAGTGTATGCAGAAAAAAAGCAAAGGAGATTGTATGTCCATTCGGTTTCACCAGCAAATAGACTTGTTCCTCTTGAGGGCACTCCCCACTGGTGTGGGCACAGTGATGTGCTCGCACCAATGGTGGCCCGCAACCAACGTGGTGACACTGGCTCTGACCCTGCTCGCTTGCTCCATCTCTCTTTGCTCTTACACTTACAAATCCTCTGGGCACCTCCAGCACTGACTGAAGAACATGGTTCTGAGACTGTCACATCACCCTGTTCACTAAGTACTAAGCAAACAAGTTTGCCAGAACCTAAGATGAAGATGAAGGGCCACATTTGCCTCCAATTTTTCCCTAAGAACCTGTCCAGAATAACATGAAGCCAATGGCTGTGTGCCCAGGAGGGATCCTGACTCCTGCACCCTAACAGCTCGCACCATGTCCCACCACGGTCTCACCCTTCCTTCACCACTATGCCCTTCTGCGCAGGTTTTTTGGAAAGAAGGGGGCAGTCAGCCCACTGAGCCTGTTGTTTTTACGGGGAACATTTCTGGGATGATGATTGCTTCAGGACCAGGAAGGAATGGCTGATACTTGGGCTTGTCCCCTCTGTTGCAGTCTCCCTCCCTCCTCTCCCTCTCTTGGTCCCCAGCAGTGCTCTCTTTGCCTT